TTTTTTTGGTTTTTTTGTTTTTTTTGATCCTCTGCAGACTTCTTTATTTCCCTAGGAGTCTCAGAAAATTGGTTTTTTTGGTTTTTTTGGTCCTCTGCAGACTTCTCTATTTTCTTGAGTGTTGTTTTCTCCTTGGGAGAAATGCACTTATCAACGCATCTGGAACTCCTGACAGGTCATCCTCTTATCTGCTGCATTCTGAACCTCTACATCTCATCTCCTTGGAACGTCAGAATTGAATATGCAACTTCTAAGCAATGTTTCACAAAAGATCTTCATTTGCTGGCTTCTGTCATTGAAGGTATTTTTCATGCATGTCCCTGCAGTAGTTGATGTCACTTCCATGTCATTTGATTCTTCCACTGCTAGATTTTGCTCTCAAATCTGATTTGCTCTCATCCGCTTCCTGACGTCTTCTTTGTGCTCATTGTCACCTACCATGGCACTTCAGCTTGGTGCAGGGGATGGTTTCAACAGAGACCTTGGAGACCAAGACGGGAAACTCACATTTGCCGAAGCAGTAGTCCAAGTCAATGGCCAAAAGCTTATTGGTCCCGAACGCAGGCCTTTGAAGTCTGATCGTCCTGTGGGCGATGTGACGATCGGTGACTTGCCTCTTCGCAACATGGACAGTATGGGCCACAAAGTCGAACAGTATGCTGATGTGATTGTCAATCACAAGCTCAATGTGACGCAGGACTTTTTGGACAACACTCTCTACCGACTGTGTGCGCAGGAGAAGTACAGTGAACTTCCACCTCCGTTCAACATGAAAGAAGAGCCGAAAGTCCCCTATAGCATGCAGATAGTCATCTTGCCAGCCGCTGATCCTCCTAATCCTGATGAGAAGTTTGTGGACATCTTCAAGCACATCTACTTGCATAAGAATAAAGTCTTCTCCAAGGATTGCATGAATTCTTGTCATGGTCATCCTTTCCGTTTCGATTGGGGCCAGCAGGTGCGTTTAGGCCTGTCTGCTTTCAATTATATGCTTGATCGCATGGGTGGGATGCAATTGCGCCTTTGGATCATCAAACCAAAGTTCGAGAAGAAGATGACCATTGATCAGCAAGCCCGTGAGAATGGCTATCGCTTCATTCGTGATCATGGACCACGCTCCAACAACCGGAACCAATTTATGGAATGGACCGATGAACAAGTACATCAACCCGGGGGTCCTCTTGAAGGTTGGAATGAGGGGAAGGTTACCACGGCTTTGCTGAACTACTACAAAGGTAGACAAAATGCCAAAACCATTGAGTATTGGCCTTTTACTTTGAAGAGCTTTGTTCCTTGGTTCCTTGACGACATCCTCGTGCACATGTTGCCAAGCATGCGGCAGCATTCTATCACATGGATTGGCCGCACAAGGGTTGGCAAATCTTTGGGCTCCAAGACAGTCCTCTTTGCTCAGTCGAGGTTTGAAATTGAGCAAGCTGGACGCACAGATCTTGTCCCGGGCATCGTCACAGCGAAGCATTTGGACTTCTTCAAAGCGGAGCCGATCACCAAATTCAAGCCGGGCGTCTTTGATGATGGTCTGCTTCAGAAAATGGATGCCTCATTCCTCAAAGCGTTCCTCAACCCGTCTGCTCCTCGCCGACAGAGATATGTTTGTGGTTATCTTTTTACGTTTCACTTGTGTATCTCTATGTCAAAATAATTCAAAATATAATTACACTTGGGGTAACTGTATCTGTACAAACAAATACATAGTTTTCGAAAGTTTTATCAATATATTGATGTTTCTAGATGCAGATTTACATCTTTGCCTCAGGAAGAGGATGCTACCGTCTGGGCCAGATATTCATCTGCGCAATTTGACCAAGGAGCCGGTCGGCATGCTTGCAACAATCCGTACAACATGCAGATTGAAGAAGACTTGGTGAAGGGCATGCAAGCCTCAGGAAAGCAGAAGATAGAGCACAAAGACTTCCTCGACCTTGTCGCTCCTTCTTTTGCTGGCGTTGAGGACAAGGCAGATTTGGCCGCTATCCTAGCCAGAACGCACCTTATAGTCTTGACCGATCACGGTGTGTATTGGCGCCTTGCTAGCACAGGTGCGACAAGCGTGCCTTTCATCCCATGGCCTAACCCTGAGGCGAAAGATTTGCTTGCAGAAGCTGAACGGCCAATCTTTAGGGCGTACAAACGCAATCCGCAGGCCCATGAACTCCCAGAGTCTTTTCATGCTGATTCAATTTGGTCCCAAGAACTTCTTGCCCGCTTGCTTCGCGGAGAACAGGTCCCACGCACCATCACCATTCGCGGTCGTGGATTGTTTGGTGGTGAGCTAGTTGAGACCCAACAAGCACCGCGTTTGCTGCCTCCGGATGAGATGAGCATGAAGATCAAGCAGGAAAAAGTGGATTCCAAATTCAAGGAGCTCAAAAGCCAGCGCATTGACACCATCGAGCTGGATACGCCTTCTCCATCGCCTGCCAAAAGGTCTCGCGTCAACAATTCCAGTCTTAGTTCATCAGCCATGCCAGCTGACCCGCCACAGAATCCGGATTTCCCTGGTATTGGAGAATCAGATGGACTAGATGAGCTTGATGATGAATTGCAGAACGCACTGGAGTTTGAGGGTGGTCATGGATCTTTAGATGGCTTTGAGAATGCTTGTCTTGTTGTGGCCTTGCAGAACCTTGGGTGTCCTGTTGCTTGTCCTCGAGATGGTCCTTTTACAGCTCTTGATGGGTGTGTCATGCTTCGTCCACTCGGTGCCAGCCTTCAGATCATCCCCCGAAACATGTCGCTGACGCAAGGCAAATATGTTGTTCTTGACATTCAGGCTTCACATTTCTTTGCTTTGCAGCACATAGAAGGTTTTGCGATTAAAATGGATGGTGACGACAAGGTGGAAGTATCCATCGGCATGCTATCCTCTATGATGTTGAATCCACGGTACTATTTCTTCAAGGTTGTCCTGGGCATCCCTTCCTCTTCAACTTTGCTTCAGGTGCCGTATTCCATTTCTGGAGGAGCCTTAGCTCGGAAAGTGTATTCGACCCAACTCACCAAATGCCCTTGTGGACACCGTTCCTTTTCCAAAGGGCATGATGTGGCAGCTGTGGTGTACACCTTGGCAGGTCCATGTGAAACGACTGTACGCACCATGCGTTGCAATGCCTATGGGTGCCGCACAACTTTTGGACCTAACTTCCTGCTGGATGATGGAAAGAAGATCAACACAGCCACTTTGGAGAATGTCCCGGATGTTCTGTTTGTGAACAACAAGCTTGGCTTCTCCTTGGATTATTTGAAATATCATTCAGCCTTGGAATTTCGAGGCTTCTTGGCCGCTCGAGCCATAGAGGCTGCTTACAAATCAGTTTTTGACCATGAGCACAGTGAAGTTCGCTTCCGTGCAATGCACGCAGACTGTGTCATGTACTGGCTGGCTTTGCAGGAGCTCTCATTGATTGGGTGCGAGAAAGACATTGTCATTGGAGATGAAATCTCAGAGGCTGCGCTCCGCAAGTATGATGACTATGTGCACAAGGTTGCTTTCCCACCCAAAAAGAGGGCATCAGTGACTGAACTTGTCGGAGATGGTCACTCGAAGGTCCACATCAAATGTGGCGAAACTACCACACATGCAGGACGACCTCGGAAAGACGGTTCTTTGAAACCCTTTGGGCATGGATGGTTCATGCTAGTCAACCCGCAGGATCAACGAATTCTTTGTGTGGTTGCCATGGACAAGCCGGAGAACAACCCAGTGGTCCAGAAGTCGTTGGAGAAAGTCTTGCCTCTGTACCAGAAAGTCAATGGATTCATCATGGACCGTGTCTGTGGTTTCGCACCGACTCATGCAAGTAAGAAGTCCCTCTCCCAAATCAAATATTGGAGCCTTGACAAGTTCCACGCCCACAGGCACAAGAAGACTTGCGTGTACAATCCACTCTACGTCAAGCGTTTGTCTCGGCGATTTGCGAAGACAAATACGTCGGCTTGCGAACAAGTTTTCTCTTGGCTTCGCAATTATGCACGGATTTTGAATGAGGCACGTGCAATTCGCCACACTTTTAAGGTGCTGTACTTTTCCAAATTGCACAACCAAGCTGTGGCTGAAAACAAGGCCAGCTACTTGAACAAGTTCAAGAAAGCTGTGTCTAAGGTAAGCAAAGCATATGCTTGCTAGAACTAGATTTTGGAACAGAACTAGCGCGGAAAAATGAGATGTCTTAGCGCCAACTCCTTGCTTGCATTGTCTGCAGCAGATGATTTGACTGTGGTAGTATCCTTATGCATTCTTCCAAAAATCATCTTCTTTACTGTCATGCTGGCTCTGACAAAAGAAAGTAGAAACACATCTTGCAACTGCATCATCTGCTTCCAATCATCTGGAAATGCCTCACATCTGTACATTAACAAACAATAAGCTAGAAATCATTAAAAAACCTATGAATTAAAAACCCACCCCCCAGCGCAATCCGCTCTCTATAATTTAGTGTCAAAGCATCGTTTTGACAGCAAAAAGGCAGTAACTTGTCGCTGCAAATTCACTGTAAAGAGATGGTTTTGTGACATCTCTCCCGGTTCTGTCCGAGGGTCCAAAAAAAAAGACATGCCAAGTTTAGATGTGCACGGGTGCTTTTCACCCCTAATATCCCCTAATGCTGATGTGTGAGTTTCCAAATATGCATTCCATCTTTCAGTTAAATATGCATTCCATCTTTCAGTTCACAAATATAGGTGTTCTCTTGATCGGCAACCTGCCGCTACCTTTCAGATCCTTTCAGCAAGACAGAACGATCATCACCTTCAGTTTGAGTCTATGCAGGGCCCAGTGCCCAAACCATGGCACTTTAAGGGCGGCCGAAGGGCGTGAATAGAAAAAAGATGAAGCAAAAAAAACACACAAAAAAACAACATCTCTCATCTGATCGTCTGCTCTCTCTGTCCGACAGAACACTTCCATTTCCTCGAAGGTGGTGGCCGCCAGGGCTGCGAAGACATCCCGGCGCCCCAGGACGCCGTCGCCGCCCACGTCCAGGAGGCCAAAGGCGATGCGCAAACGCTTCTCCGGTGTGGCCGTGACCTGCAGACAGTCGTGACAGTGATTTGGAATGATTCACGGATATTCGAAGGTGTGGAATGGTGGAATCCCGCAGGGCCTACCTGCTCTACACCAGAGAGCATGAAGGAAAGAGAGACAAAAAGCACTAACCACTGTAAATCATGGTAGTCTACAAAAATCATATGACACATAATGTGCATATATAGATAGATCGGATAGATAGATATATATATATATAGAGATAGAATATGATAGAATAGAACAGAACACTGTAGACAGAATAGCATTGATTATATAGTTTAGATAGATAGATCCATAATTACTATGTGCATGTGTGTGTGTCCCGCTCGCAGGCTCTAAGGTCGCTGCCAGCAAGCCAATTCGCTCCTCGTACAGCTTGTACCGGATCTTCCCTGTGACGCAATGGAAGAGGCGACCCAAGAGAGCCGTTGTAGTTGCAAGCTACTAGGAACAGGGGCATCGCTACTAGGAGCAAAGGGCATCGCTACTAGGGGGCATCGCTACTAGGAGCAAGGACGCTACTAGGAGCAAGGACACTACTAGGGGCGCTCCTGGCCTTACTACTAGTAACAAGAAGCTACTAGAAACAAAGGGCATCGCTACTAGTAACACCAAAGTAAGAACCGGAACACTTTCCAGGGCACACCAACTCTGCCAACAACCCTGATGTACTGAATACTGCCTCCCCTTGCGTCCCTGCCTTTCAAAGCCTTAAGACCAAAATACACGCCCAAGCGCTGCACATGGGCCTCGCTGGGCATGACACGTGACAGGAGGACAGCTTGGTCCTGAACTCAACTTCAGTGTGAGTTTCCTTTCAATCTCCTTTAGCCGCCTTTAGCCATCTGGCCATCGCCATGCTATGACAAAACCTGTGCCTCTGCCAATGCAAGAAGTAATAGAAAAGTAAAGAGAAATGCGATAGCCATCTCCTAAATTCCTAAATGTCAACGGGCATCGGCATTTGCACTTAATTTGGTCATCTGCACATGGTAATTACTAATTACATCTAAATACTAGGCGTCGGCACGTCAAGGAGTCATCGCAGGGCAGACTTCAAAATACAAAATTGAAGCGATGCGTTCCGACATGGTGTGGGCTGTTGCGTCGGTGGGACGAGGTGTGCCCCTTCGTTCAGCCAAGTAGCATTGGAAAGGCGACCACGAAGGCTTTTGGCAACCTGTCCCGAGAGCAACGTACAACACTCACAAAACTACACCTGCCTCGTGTGCCAATTAATCTGAGAGAACTCGAGCAGCATCCACCATGGCAACAAGTTTGGCTTCTCTGTTCTGAATAGAGCAATTGATTGAATCCCCACATCACGTCAGAACGTGTTTGTTCCAATGCAATTACTGTCCTAGAGTTATCGGGTCGAGTCAAATCCAAATTGATATTGAAAGAAAAACAAGTTGCCGGCATGACTGGGTCTGACTGTGGAGAAGCAACACTCACCTCGCTCCAGGAGATCATTGCACCCGAAGTGCCCCTGACGAAACCAAGTCATTGTCGGAATCAATCTCACAAGAGGAAAGCCTAGCGACCTGCACCCATGCAGAAATACAACTTGATTTACGTGTCTGTAGTGCTGAAAGAATCTAAAACATTATACGGCATATATATATATACACTATATAAATACATCTATACTGTATCACTGTACTTGTTGTCATTTGCTTTTTGCCTTGTTTGCAACTGAGCAAAGCCGCACAAACTTCAATAGGAGCCTAGCACAGTCCAGCATCTAACTTACATCCTTCAACGACAAGGCATGATGGCATGGTTAGAAAATATCGCCTGGCTACGCCCTGGCCTCATTTCCTCCTCCGGCTTTGAAGCATCACGGCCTTCCTAGCATAACTGGTTCTGGTTCTTCTGATCGTCTCTGCATAGAGAACTACCCGGGATTTTGTTCGGATATCTATATATGGATATCTCATATTCTGTGAGCTCAATCATTCAGGTGTAGGTGCTCAAGGTCTTGAGATGTTGCAACATCAACATGCCCCTGTGATCCCCTGTGCTGTGTGCAAAGCAACCAAGCACACGTTGACGTGACGCGTAGCAGAGAACAGCGCAACAAATCGCTGGAAATCCGGTGGCCTTCCCTCTCTGCTCTGCACGTTCAGCCACACCCGAGCTCTTCACCATCTCTCGAAAGACCCCCATGATGCTGCGCTGCTCAGCGCCTGAGTCAGGCGTCAGGTTTTCAGATGCTCAGTGATGTTCAGTGCTGTCAACTCAGTGTAGACTTGCGGCCGGGGGTTGGTGACGAAAGCTAGCATGGCTTAGAAACGGGATGTGGCGAGAGGTATCGGAGAGCGCAATTTTGCGTTTGTTTATGGAATGTCTCTGGTTGCCGTGCGTTGACCTGCAGTCAAATGACCTAGTGGATTGTCCTCTCCGATGCCTTGATCAGACGTGGGGGACGGGGAGTTGAACCCGCCAGGAGGTGGAGCGGGGCGTCTACGCATGAAAAAATCACTGGGTAGGTCATTCCATCCCCCAGCCAATGACTTGCTACAGCAAGAGTAACTCCAGCTAGCTGACGCTACGAGTAGCTTTCATGACATCAAAATCACCTTCCTTCTCTCAAAGTCTTGCTTTCAAAACCCGCACTAAACATCACAAAGAACTTTCATAATCCTGCCATCCAAGGTGCTGGTGAGCTCCCGGCCATGAAGCTCATCCACGGCATAGGTCGACTGCCGATCTGCCGGCAAGCGACTGTCTCCTTCGTATTCCTGGACGACTGAGCAAAAGAGGCACGGAGGACTCTTGGTCGGAAGGACCATTAAGGACCCCAAGTTATTGTCAGCGACCGCAGTGAATGAGGGGAAGACCAAGAAGCCAAACGAACACAAAAAGGATCAGCAGGGCAGGGTTGTGTGAGTGAGACTTCTGGCTGAGTTTCATCTTGGAGTATGTAGATGCAACAAGGTGACTAGGAGTTCACATTGTATCACCAGTGGCCTTTGTTTGCAAATGGTGCCTTTGCGCCCAAACTCAAGCGAAATATGACGCGGTCATACGCGGTCCCAAACGCCCAAACAACGTCTCTGGGTAATATGGACTATATAAACTCAAACCACAACATGTTGACTACACAAGTTGCCTTGACGAAAACAAATACGCAGGGGAGCTTCGTATACCTTTGCACAATCACCAAGCCCAAAAATGTTTCTCACAGAAGGCACTTGCCAATCAAAAACGAGCTCAACTGGTCTCATTGCGGCCTCTCGCATCCAGTCCGCCAAGAACACATCCCCCTCAACCCAAACGCCTTGCAAATTGTTGTCACGTTTGTTGTCTGAAGTATTGTACATGGGTGGTTGTATGTTGTATGCCCTCAGCGAACATCACCTGCGACAGAAGAAACATGAGAAACTCCGCTGCAACACCCGACAATTGTCTTATGCTGGTTCACCAGATGGAAGCTCGTCCTTATTCCAAGGAACGCAAATAAACAAGGTGGCAACAGTCCAGAAAAGTATTTGAACAAATGCCGGCTCACTTGCCCTAAACAGAAAGAGGGTTGCTCTGACTAAGGTAATATGATGTATATAAAATGAACATAGCGTACATGACGTTTAATTCGCACTGAAGCGGTCTTACAATGGCTTCTGTTGCAAGCTACAGCACAAAGAGTGTTATAAAGCACGGTAGCAAGTAAGTATTGGAACAAATCAGGCAATCAAGTCCTATCTATGTCGCCAAAGTAATGACATAAAACAAAACAACAAAAGGTACAATGCTTGCAACCTTGGCCCAGAATTACAGACCACAACACGGATGAACCCTCATTCACTCCTTCCTGACTAAAGTGTGGCCAGTCAAGAAGTGATTTGAAGTTGGGTCTGAAAGAGTTAGCACGTGAAAGCCTTAAAAGCTGGGACATATGCATGTCCGCGCATGTCCGCGCAAAGTACTTTAGCAATTTTGAACCGTTTGCGTTGATGCATGTGCACCTGTGCAAAACATTTGGCGAAACTCGCGGAAATAATTTCAATATGCAAGGCTACCAAAGCCTGCCCTAAAATATGTCCCTCAGATTCCCCATACTATGTCCACTATGTCTCTGACTTGAGTCCGGTGTCATACTGTTCTCAGGCTTTGGACACGGTTCACATGAATTTCTGGGGCTACCAGCCGATGAGCTGACCTGGCCCCGGCCCCGGCTCGGTCTCCTGGTACCCATCGCCGGCAATGACACCTCAGCCGGGCCACATCGAATGTCAAACGAATGTTGCGACAATCTAAAATTGCAGGCCGTCCAAGTGCTTCATTCATGGCCAACCGATGAAGGAAACTCAACCATTTGTGCAAGCATCGCTTTGTTCACCAATTCATGCTCCTGCTTGTGGCAAGACACGGCGAATAGTATGCTCCTTCAGCTTTTTCTTCTGGATCTCCAGCTGGATTTCCTTGGGAACTCTCTACATATCACGCACACCCCCCACAAAAAGGAACCAACGGAAACAAAGCGGAGATGTGCAGCTGACCCCCGAGTCACAGTCGGCGTGGTCACCAAGTCACTTCTGGCGACTGCTCTGGTCGTGTGTCTTGGACATGTTGCCGTGTTCGACCACGACGCTTGTTCTGGGGTGCCGAGAGGCCTGAGCCGAGCCGCTTCTGTCAGGACTTCTGAAAATGAGTCTGGGCACAAGAAAGACCACAGTGTCTTGGCAGGTTGTGGGGATTGCAGGCCCAGGTTTGCGTCCGAAGCACGTTCCAGAGTCTTCGCGAGCTTCGCCTGAGTGATGGGCATATGGACAACGACAGGCCTCAGTCAGTCCGACTTGAAAAAGGTTGTTGCAATGTCGGCGTGGCAACACGACAAGTCACAAAAAGAACGACGCCGATGCAAGTGTGTCTCTTATACACTTGCATCCCTACACATGTTCTTCCATGTTCTTCCAAGCAATGTCTATTTGATTACCACTCCCCACGTCCATCAGAAGTCTCATCCCCGCATGTCAGGTCAAGGGGGCTTCAGGATTAGGAGAACCTATTTCAGGGATCCTTAACCGTTTCTGACCGGGGCCTTTCCCCCTACCCAGCTTTCTTGGCAAGCAGAGATAAATGGTAAACCTTGTGCCATTTAAGACCTGTGACGATCTTTCTGGACTGCTCTCCTTTTCCACCTTGACCTCTTCCTTGGCAGAGACCCTCTTCTCAGTCAAAGCCATGAAGGACTTTACGAAGGCCTGGCGGCAAACCCGGCTCCATAGGGCCTCAACTGGGCCTCTTCACTTCAGCGGGTTTCTGCAAGGACAGTTTCTTCTTATGTATATATATTTCTGAGTTACACATGCGGCATGTGGAAATGATGCAACGCCTTCATGGACCTCTGACTGTTGTGCCCTCCTGCGTTTGTAAGGCTGCGTGGGTATGGAGCGTAGAATCACGAGGTGCATTCATGGAGTCGTCAGAACCTCAGGGACAGAAGCGCGCCCTGGGCAGGTGTGATGAACTTGACAGAAGCGCTTTGCTCCCAGCCGGCTTTGGGCATGGGACTCTTGGTCATTGTTGTGCTACCCCTTACTATCCCATACTAGCGATGTAAAAGCCTTGGTTGTTTCTGGTTTGATGAGCAGAGGGGGGTGCTGATTGGGGAACAAGTAAGTTGCGGCCCCTGCAGAAGAACATAGAAGAACCTTCAATGCCAACTACTGGTATCAGGTAGCGTTGCTGCAGAAACAAGAGTAAAGTAGAAGTGCTTGGCTAATCCACGGCCACATCAGCATGATGCCCATCACTGATCACTTGCTTGAACAATCATGAACAAAGGAAGCAAACAAAGCATAAATAGTGAAATGTAGCATGGTGTTAAACTCCTTCTGTGCCCAAACTCGCATGGCATCTTAGAAAGACATGAGTTTGATGCTAAGTTGTATGGTTCCACGCCTGGCGATCGCAGCTCCTGCCAGAAAAATGGGATGTCGACGGTCCGATCTCCAGTCATGCACCACAAACATCCACCCTCGCCGTCCCTCGGCACTGTTACAACCAAATCCCTTGAGCTCATGTGGACTCATAGTCACCCTGTCCCCCTAGCCAAGACATCTGATTCCAAAGCCGAGATGTTTGCTTCCCAGGTTGGAGACCACTCGGAGAGGTTGGCCTGCGTTCGACGCCAGCTGTGCTCACCGGCCTTGGAACAAGCTCGACTCGATACATGAAACGACATGAAATCAGAAGTATATGTCGTGTGCCCGGATTGTGCTCTCGTGGAGGTGCCATCTGCGAGGCAGTTGTGTGAAAGTGCGCGTTGCGTAGGAAAGGCCATCACTGTGTCCGTGTCTCTTTGTGTGTGTGTGCGTGTCTGTCCCTCTCGCTCTGTCCATTGCCTCTCCCGCCCCCCACAACCATGCTGTCCATGGAAGCCGGAATCTGGGATGTCGGGCCGTCATCGCACCTCCCACTGTTTTGGGCTTTTTCTTCCGGCCGTGCTATGTAGCAAAGAAAGCACAAGGAGTAGGCTTGTTGACCAAGCATAAACCAAAACCCCTGCTAAAACACATTGCAATATCATGGAAGAAAGAAGTCGTGTCAGAACACAATCGTCACAATTGAAAAAGGCCAAAGAGGCTGCAGTTGCTTGTGCAGCTGGCTGGCCTCGCCAACCATCACTCCTGACCGTATCGGCAAAGCTAGGAGGACTCAGGATGTCTGCTGTGCTTGAACAAGGCTGCCCAAGCCAACCCTTACAAACTTCACCTAGATGTTCTACAAGAGCATGTCCCTGCCTTCCAGTATCTGTCAGCTTAGCCATAAACTGACAGTCGTGTCCACGACACTTGGAGGGACTGTCTAACTTTGAAGAAAATTCTGGAAGAAAGGCATTATTGGGGTGCATCGGAGAGGGTTAGCCGGCTAGCCTTTTTTGATTGATTCATGGGTCGCTTTGTCTGTCTGGGGCTTGATCATCATGATAGATCCGAGTCTGCTCTCACCTTCAACAAAGTACCGTGGCCTCCATTGCACTTCATACATACCAAGGACGGATCGATGGATAGATATCTGACTTCTACATGTGGTATGTGTTTTTGATTGTGTGTGATGTATGAACTATTTCAGTATGTTTGGTTATATATAGTTTGTTTCCATCCCTCTCCATCCCTCTCCATCCCTCTCCATCCCTCTCCATCCCTCCCTCCCTCCCTCCCTCGCTCCCTCCCTCCTCTCTCCCTCCTCTCTCCCTCTCTCTCTCTCTCTCTCTCTCTCTCTTCGTGTGTGAATTCTCATTCCTCCACTCCTCTCAAGGCGATGCCGGGTCCGCGCGGAGACTTCGCTGCTCACGGGGCGCTCTGACTTCTTTGGGCCCGTGGCTGTAAAGCTCCACCAACCCAACCTGAGTCTCGTGGCACAGTCCTTCAGAGGGACGGGAGGGGGTCCGGTCCTCACTCAACAAGCGTGAAAGTCAAAAAAAAGATGTTTCCACAATTTCTTGAGGGACGATCTGGGAAAGCTTTGGTTTTGAGGTGGGTGTGAAGATTAAGGAAAAGCAATGGCCTCCAACCCAATAGCGACGGCCTCCAACCTAAGGAAAAGCTCTTCTGGACAAGTCGGTCTTCATGTTTTTGCATGTTGACACCAAGGCCCTGAAAGTCAATACCCGCCGCTTCCCCTGCGACGGGGCTAGGTCAAACAATCCTCGGCTGATCCTTAGCTACTATTACTGAATATGACTAAATCTACACCGGCAATAGATGCACATGGGTCCAGCCCAAAATTCGTTGAATTGTTTGAAATGATTGTTAAACTGCACCCTTTCAAGACTCCTACTGATACTGCCAATTGTGAGTGTGCCAAACGCCCATGTATTGCTAACAATAACCTGTCAAAAGCTTTCTCTTTAGTTTGATGGAAACCTTACAATTGAAGAATCAATACTTTGACAAATGATGCACACGAAATGAGAAAACTCGTCGGCTCAGTGCTTTTGCATTCATGTCTAAAAAGATGTTGATAAAGGATGTTTTTCGAAACTTGTCCTCTACTACTTCTCGGTGTTGAAGCGGCTCGCAGGAATCAGCTAGCCGGGGCACCTGTATTACCTTCAATGAACACACGTCACATGTTGACATGTCGTCCACCTAGAATTCATTGCTTAGCGTGAAATGTGTCACAAAACTCCGGGGCACTTTACATTATCCGCAGGATGAGGTCTGCGAATCTCTTGTGGTCAAAGCCATTCCCCTGAGCACTACATTACACATGCTCCCATGTCCAAAAGCACTCCAGAGTGAAGTGATGGAGCTTAGGAAGGTGGCTGCGGGACCCTTGAGGAATCCTGCACCACAGCAGGACCCTCAATGCCATCTGACGAGTTGCTCAGGGCTGAGATCTCCACGCCTCCGTGGCCAACGCATCAGGAGTGGACTGAAAAAACTTCTTGGCTTCAGTTCCCACTGAAGAAGCTGTCCCAGCAAAAAAGCAGAGACAAGGGGGCCTTCAAGGGGGTCAACAGTTGAAGTATGGTGAGATGCACCAACCGACCCTGCAACACAGAAAATTGCTGGGCTGGGTAGAAAATGAAAGAACGTGCCAGCATGTAGACTGCACAAAATTGAAAGTTGTTAGTTGTTAACTTCTTGATCTATATAAGTTCACGGTCCTCCAAGTGAGCACATGCCCTAATGCAAAGAGCACCTGTGACAATCTCCAGCCCAAAAAATATACACGCAGGATTGGGGGCTTCACCTTGCGGAATCACCAAACAATAAAGGCAACCCAAGGCAACCCATCCGAATGCCCTGCATCCTGAGGCATTCCTGGTAGGAGCTTTCCTCGCTGCTGATCTCGCAAGCTTGGCTCTTTTTGGGGCTTTGAAAGTCGCACCAGGTGCTAGACAGGGGATTGTGACCTCAATTTCTGCATGCTCACACCATTGGTTGCGCAGACATGCTGATCACAATCCGCACGCTCTCCTGTCATTTCAAGCGAAGTTTTGTGCAGTTCCTTTTGCAGTTTAGGCTGAGTCCCAACTGAAACATTTCAGGTTTGGGGGAGTATGCTACGCCCAGGCTCAGTGTTGATGTAGACCGAACAGTGGTGGATGCCCAAGAGATTTGTGGTCAAACCCTGCTATTATAAGAACAAGTACAACTCCCCCCAAACTGCAACCGTACAAAGTCCACGGAGGAAGGCTTCTTGAAACAAACCATGGCTCTTATTGATACGTAGCGCCATTAAGTGCAGCCACACTGTATTCACGTGCCATCTCAGTGGCAGAGTCGCTTGTTGTATATATACATAAGTATCGTTCGGTTATCGCCGCTCAGATGACCGCTACAACAGGACATTAACCAGATTGGACAGCTATATTGCTATATAAGAATAACCATGTTCAGGTTGTCGTTTAGTGCAGAGGGCAATGACTAGGTGCAACAGCAAAACCACTAGAATCGAGATGAGCTGCTGTCATTGCATTGAACGAACCGGCCCAAATAAACAAGCAAGAACTTCTAGAACGTATATATAGGTTCTGATTCCAGAAACCATTGCAGGAGGTGAAGGCGTCTTTAAAATGGAAGCGGTTCTTCTAAAACATTGGTACAACAACTGGATGGACTGGATGGAACAAAATTCCGGAAACTCCTGCAAGGTCCACGCTGGCCACGATCCCACCTACAAATCCTGCAGAAGTGGCATGGCACTGTCTCTTGACGGCCCTTTTTAAAACATAGTTTCGATACATGTTCGATACTGTAGAAGCTACCTTACAACAACCTGCCACGAATGAACAGGAGAACGCCATCTTTGATGCCAGTGATTAGTTCACTGCACCCACGGTCTATCACTCATCATCCCAAACTGGACTCGTTCAAAAGGCGAGTCTCTTGGCAAAATGCGGGACGAATCTCCAAGGCAGCGCCACATTGAAAGAACGCACAGCGAAGTGAGGAAAGAAATGGGTGTATATATGTACAGTATATATGCATATATACTAAAAAACAAGAATATGAAGCTGGATTCTAGGCAAAAGAGGCAAAGAATGTGGAAACATGTGGAAACGATGCGTCGACGTATCCGTACCTGATCCTATCCTTTTCAGAAGGCCACAAAGACAATGAAACTTGAGATAGGAGGGAGATGAACGAAAGGTAGCTGGCAGGTAAGCAGGGGTGTGTGTATGATAAGGAGCCGGCTTTGCATGTAGAAACTAGATGTGCTGTGCTGGACAAGAACCAGAGTACAAGATTGGATCCAGGGGTTGAAAACTAGTTACTTTATGTTACTTTGGACTTTGGGGACCAAATGCACGGCAAGACACCGGCAAACATGTTAGTCAAATGGTAAGTAAGCATGTTGGAACAAACTGGAAGCCAAGTCTGTGCCAGGATGAGGATGGGTGAGAGGAGATCAACGGAAAGTCATTTCAGGTGGTTCCTGCCTCATTGAAGCGCCAGTCTGTGAGCCAGCATCTGTTGAAGGCTTAGCCTTTCGCACTGATCCTGTGGATCTCCAGCTTGGAAGGCTCCTGGAGCACTGCAAAGCAGTGGCACAATCCACATCTGCCGTCTCCACGACTACTGCTCACTGCTCACCATCCGGCGTTTTGTACATCTCAGGTCCGTTGGGCATGGTTGCGGATAGAAACTCTGGCCCCCCGGTGCAACAAGAAGCCATATCCAACGCTTCACAAAGCCCTGTCCTAACCCCAAGTGACCTGAAAAGCCGACCAAGTACGGTGGCGACCGATCCGTCCGGAGGGCGAGGGCCCAGCGATGAGGTTGTTCCCAATAAAACCCGCAACCTCATGCTCAGCTCCGTCGCAGCATGAGCATTTCAAAATATGAACTTCCACAAGCATTGCATAGACAAACTTTCAGGAAGAAATACTTTCAAGTAGCTACTAGTAACAAGAAGCTACTAGGGGCTCCTGGCCTTACTACTAGGAGCAAGGACGCTACTAGGGGCTCCTGGCATCGCTACTAGGAGCAAGGACGCTGCTAGGGAAGTTTCAGTCCAAAACATTGGTCCACTGTCTGGGAGGATATGATGAAACAAAGGTGCCAGCACGGCTACAAGTCTGTAAGCATCGTGCCACAAAATTGCAACGAACATGTTCTTCGGGATCTTCATGGCATTGTCAATCATCATTTGAGCACTCACTCCAGTGAAGAAGTTCCAAACTGCTCACTGTGTTCGACTGCAAGATGGATCAAGATTAAGGTCGCTGAGGCACTTAAAAAGAAACCACGATGGCGATGGCAAACACACGCAATGGTCCCATGAGGCAATCAGCATCAACAATGCACTTTTTATGTGCCTCTCTCATGGAATCTCCTGTCCCATGGTTGGCATAGACTGGCTTACAGCTTGACGCTTCCCGGCTTCCCCGGCTCATGGTCTCATCTGCAGCCGCACTTTGAAGCCAGCCCTAGCTCCCTCCACGCAGCACACACAAAGGCTTTGTTAAAAACATTCAACTACTCAGTCCAGCCAGACCTTATCAACCCCCACTCTCTGGCTCAGCAAGTGTCTGTTCAAAATGTTTGGAATGCCTTTCGCTGCTCATGCGGACCGCTGAGATCAACTTCGGCTGTTCTCATTGCGAGGACAGGGCATGCAACCCTTTCGGCTCGAATTCCGCCCCATTCAAACGGGAGGTTTGCGGAGTTCGTGCAACAGCTCTCAGCCGTACGCACGCTGGCTCGCTTGCCACACGGAAGATTGGACCTTCTAGCCACCCACACTTGACTTACTCCAATCCGTGGCTATCGGCCATGTCTCCTGCAAACCAGGAGGGAGGCATGTTTAAAGATTCATGCCTTGTCAACCCTCATGCAAATCACATCTCACACTCACCCGCTCAAGCCCAACGCCAAACTCTCGCTGGTCGCTACATCGACCGTTGGTGCGAACTTGGGTGTTGCAAACCTTTGAGCATGCTAAATGTGTGTTGCATACTCAAGATCGTTGGGCAAGGGTGAGAGCAACCTGCATGTAGCATCTACTTTCTACAACCCTAGGCCAAATGCGCGAAGGATCCCAAGCTGGATTTTCTTGCCGAAGCAATCGCCGATGTGTCACCGTATGTCACCTGTGCAACCTGGTGACCTGGTGGCTTTTGAGATGCCAAATTAAGTGAGCAAGAGAATCCAGTGGAAGGAGAGTATCGAATAAAATGCAACCAACATGCTCTGTACGAACTGAAAAGCGCATCGGCTGAATTCAGCCCGTCGATTGAGGCCACAGCTCAACAAAGTTGAAATGATCAACAGTGGCGCACTGTCAGTGCATTGACCGTCTGTGGGTTGTCTTTTATGTCCCTCTTGATGCGGGTTCAGATTATGTATAACTCATTCAAAATGTCGGCTTTAAACTGGAGTCGTGTGCTAAATGGAATATATAAACGTCTTTGATCACGATACTGATTGATATAAAAACGTGTATATATATAGATATAGGCATATTGTTGTGTAGCGTTGTCTAAATAAATACGTATATACATGTATATACTTATATACACGCACATTTGTTTGTGAGATATATAGCAAATCTGTGAACGACAAAGGCCTCCAGTTGACAGGCATGCCAACCTCGATGCAAAAGACTACCAAGTCTGGCACCAACGCAGGCATTTTCTCATGCACTGCTCGTCGGCATGCTGTGCCGGGACTGACTCTCTCGGGGGTGAAGTGTAATTTCCACTCCACCCCGTCTCTAGGCACACCGGCTTTTCCGACAAGCATGTTGCACATGTCTGACATGCTCAAACACAGAGCAAGTCCGCAAGAGACTTGATGGGATGAACGGTTTCCACCTGTTCCAGCCTGCATCCAAAAACTGCTCCGACAATCATGGTCTATCTATGTCTCTCTCTCTCTCTCTCTCTCTCTGTGCATGTTTGGTACGTGTTTACATATTGCAGTGCCAATCGTAAAGCACACCGCGGCACATTGTGTTCGCTAAACTCCGAAGTCTGTCCAGTTCATAGCCATAGCCATAGCATGCCATAGCTACATGGGTTGGGGTGTTGGTACCCATTAGTGCTATAATGATCTCTAATGTAAAACAATGCAACCTGATAGCGCCTCCGACCTAATAGTGATGGAATCCAACCTACCCTAGAAAAAGTGTGAAAAAAGCCAATAGAATCACTCCAATGATACACATCGCCCGCGCACTAAGGCGATGACAAATCTATGATAATCTATCTTACAAAAAAGCTGCCAGAAATAAAATCTGACAAACAAGGTGACCTTAGCACCTATATAATTGGATCAGGCAGCCTGTCCACTTACAATTAGATCACACTTGCATTGGTTCCTGCGCTCCAGCGGTTGAACTGTGTCTGAGATCCACGAGGAGTTTCTTCGGCTCTCCCCCAGCCCTCTCGGCAGCCA